AGCAAATACTTTGTCAAGCATTACATATGGATGGTATAATGTAAACAAGAAGCTGAGAACTCCATTATCTGCTGGTGCATCACTATCAGTGATTTCTAAATATTTCATCATTGTTTAGACTGCATTCAGATTGCCTAGAATGACTAGCTACTTACAAACAGTAGATGCAACTGTTTTCTTAGGTGGTGTAATTAGCAACAACGAGTAGTACGGATTCCTTCACTACCAGTCTAAATGTTTGCTCAGGATATTGGAAAACAAAGTATCTTCCTTGGACTCCCATGATAGGCCATACTGCCCTTCCAACAGGTAAAGAAACTTGATTAAGGGGAAAAGGAACAACACAAGATTAGAAATAAATTTGCATTTTTATACAGAATCAAAGTAAACCACGAATTCTTGCAGCACTGTGGACCTCAGTTTCCCGTCCCTGGTGTAATGAATGACCTGCAGAGATATAGGCTTTTTGGCATGACCTCCTGTCTTTTCCCCCCTCCAAGGATTCACATCCATATTTTGTGAGCTAACAAAGTCCTACAGTAAGGAAACGGATGCTTTCATGTTCTTTTCCAGCCTTCAGAGCAAAATGTTGCCTGTCATCTTTTTTTACCGTAGTGCCCCGTCTTTGTTCATAGAGAGAGCAGCTGTGGGGCTCGGTGAGATTCTGCTTCTCATTTCCTTAGAGCTTTTTAACCGGTAGCCTTTCAGCACACCAATGAGTTCTGGACTTTTCAGAGCTGGATTACAAATGGATATTTCATTCCTGAGATACTCTAATTCCTGCTCTTCATTCATAGTAACAAGTGCAAGGAAGTATTTTACTTGCTATGTATAAAATAAATTCAGACTCATGCTGCTGAGCTAAAGTACTTTAGTATATATAGCATATAGTGGCACCCCCCCCTTCTTTTTGGTCAATGTCACATTAAAGGCTTATTTCTGATTAGACTTGTTAGAGGCTGGTGTAAGACTCTCACACTATTTCAGGATCTCTCTTATTTCAGGGTAACAGGAGAGCTAAGTAGGAGCAGTAATTAGGAAAGTCCCTTCTGATACGAAACTCAAGTCCTGTCTATATCGCTTGTTTGCAGGACATAAACCTCACACTGCAACTATTCTGTGGCTCAGGTTTTCCCCTATACATTCACATTTCATTTTAAGCCCAAACCTGAGAGTTAACTTTAAGCCCAAACAATCAAAACCCTCACCACAATCAAAGCAATTCAGAAAAGGCATTTCTAGTTATACTTGGATGCTGATCTCAGTCATTAAGAAAATATATAGCAACCCTGCGGAGAGGAAAAACACTGATGTTAAAATAGCCCTACCATATTATGTAATCTATTTTCTTTGTATTTATATATTTGTTTCTAATAGCCATTTTATTTTTACTGGGAAGTGAGCTGGAGCCTATATTTTTGGACAGATTATTTGATGCTCAACTCTGTTCCAAACCAAAAACAAGTAATATTTTTAGCCACAGCAAATTTGGGTAATGTTGATTAATTATGACAGCTTTGTCTGCTTCTCAAGAAGTTTCAGGTTATGAGACACATTTAGAATGAAAATGTACATTTTCCATGGATCTTGGAATACCCCAGTAAAAAAACCCAACAACTTCCACTAGTCAATTTGGAATTATAATTCTCCATAAAAGCATCTCGCATGTGTCTACAGCAATAAAACTACAGTCTTTAAAAGCTGTGGTCCTAAGTCTGTTTATAACCATTAGGTAGGTTAACGTCTATCTATTTATTACGCTCCCCCTCCCCCCTCCTTATATCTGACGGTTATGTTTAATCAGGCTTAAAACGAAGTTGTTGTGCATTCAGAACATCTCATGGTTTTTCATGTAGCGCTACAGAAAAGGATTGTGAAGTTAGGGTTGGTTCAGATAACAGGACATACCGCTCAGCCATCTCATTTTGACATTTGATAAGTAATTAACCAAAGGAAAGAACAGATGTTAAGAAAATGCTTAGTGACAGCCTGTAGATGATTTAAGACCAGTTCATGAACCACATAATCCCCATTTAAAACTAAAATGCCATGAGATGAACAGCAAAAAATTGTATGATGCTTTTGCAGCCTAACAAAGAATTGGCCTTCATCAGCTTCGAATAGCTGAATGTGCCATCAAATACTCATGCGATCTACTACGGAGAGCTTAGACTCCCATATCCTAAAGATCACATAACAGCCTTATGACAAACAGTAAATACAAAAGACAATAAACAATTAGAAAATAAAGAAGCTTACTGGATTTCCTTCTTAAACTCCAGCAGCATTTTCCGCAGCTTTCATGCCATTTATTTTTGCATGAATAACTTGGAATAAGAGATCAGATAGATCAAAGTTGGTATAGTTGGGGTAAAAATGAGTGGTGGGCTAAGTATAACTCTGTGGTCCAGATAGAGAAGAAGAAAAGAGAATAAACAAAATGGGGAAAGCGGGACAAAAGTGGCAGATGATGAAGGAAAGCAGGTTTATGAATGAAAAGCATTCTGAAAAGTCAGCTGCCCAAAACAGACCAGAGATTTGGCAGATCTCATGTACACAGTTACTGTTACTTGCACAGCAGCTAAACCATGCTGATACTGACCCAGTGATGATATAATGACCACCAAGAAAAGGAGGTTTTTAGGTTTCAGAATATGGAAGGGAAATATACAGTTTTGCTTCTCTAAACATACCTTGTCGAAGATTTTCTTATCTGGGTCTTAGCCACAGTACTTAGAATGATATTAATAGATATCTCCTAGCTCTTCAAGAATTTTGACCTCAAATGGCTGTGGTAGTAGGTAGAGTAGGTGCCAACCCACATACTAGCCAGCACATGCCACACTCGGTCAGTGCAAATACTGCCCTTCGAATGCTGCGACTACTTCATTGAGGGCTGATTATTCTAGGAGAAGGTTTCAATTTGTGATAATTAATAATAGCTATCACATATGCTCCAAAAGAGAAATAAGAAACAAGGTAGAAGCACCTTAATACCACTTCCAGGAGCCACTGACTGAAACGGATCTGTAGCAGTCTCCCAGAGAAGGGGAAAGGCTAGCCGTGTTTGTCCTGTGCTTGCAGAGGTGGTCCCACGTACATTAGGCAGATTCAGATGAGGAGGTCGGAGGAAGATATGAACATGTCCATTTGGCTGGAGGTTGTTATGTCACGTGGGAACGGTTTTTAAATTATTGAGGTGTTTTCCCCCTCCTTCAAAGAAGGGCTGGGAGGGGCTAAATGCAGGGGATCCTGTCTGTAGCCTCCTAGAGGAATGGAGAGGAGGTTTCTCTGGGCCAGTCCAGTTCTTACCCTCATCAGCAATCGCTTGGCTTTTCTGAAACTATAATGCAGCTTCCAACACCACGTTAGGCTTTCCGTGTTAGCAGCAGAGAAGGGGAAAAGCATAACCAGACTGTGTTTGGCAGCCTGTGCTTCTTCCCACTGTGCTAAAACAAAAAGCGTTGATACTTCGTTGAGTAACAGTTGGGCTAATAAAAGAGTGGGCCCCTAATTTATAAGCTTAGCAAATTTGACTCGGGAGTGATTAGTTAAGCAAAGATGATTAATGGGGAAAGGCATTTCCTGGCATGTTCAGGAGATCTGGGGACCCCAGGTAAAACCTGGAGCCCTTAATCCTGACAGTCATGAACCATCAAGATCATCACCGTTAAAAACAGTTTGTTTTTTTAAATGAAATGAATGTTGGAAGTATAAAACGTGGACGTGACAAAAGGTATTTTTATATGTGGAGAGGCTGACCTAGAGCAATAGACATGAGACCGTTAATAGCAGCCTTCTCCTGGCAGTTAATACCAGGATAAAAAAAAAAAAAAAAAAAAACGGAAAGTAGGACTCATGTATAGTCTCTTGTGTTTATAATTCAGAATTAATACAGAATACAGAGATATTGCTTTTACAAAATCCTTTTCCTGATCATAACTGTATTTTAAGCCATTCACAGGATGTTGATATGCATTTATGAAATTGAAAGCTAGCCCCCATAGATAGTTTGTGTCGTTATTATTATGAGGAGATTTAGGAGGAGAGCAATGGCTTTTGAGATTACATAGGATATCTGATACAAACATCAGTATGGACACCATTTATAACTATGTGTTATCTTGAGGTTAAATGAGAAGGGTTTCTGGCACAGGACAATTACACAGTAAAATAAACAGGAAGCCGTAAAGCCCTTCTCCAAACCAGCAGCCAAACACATCTAATCTGTCAATAAAGCATACCAGATTTGGGCTGAAATTCCAAGGCTGGAAGTGCAATGTTAAAGGATGTTACACCTCATTTGTTGCAAAATATTGTACAGTGGCAGTATCAATAACTCATTTAAGAAGTTGCTGTTTACCAGAGTGGCTTTCCTGTCAAAATAGGCTGCCTGGCATTGAGCAGTTAATGAGATCCTAGAGGATTTTCAAATAAAAGGTTAGCATTTATTTAACTGAGAAAGTCTGTCCCTTGATAATTTGTACTAACACAATCCTTCGCTATACTGTCAAATAAACACCGAGGAACTGTACGGATGTTTATTTTATTTCTTAAAGGTACCGTTCCTTCTGGAACTATGAATGTGACAAATACGACACATGATTTCTTTCACAGGATAAAATCCTCTTCTCACTTCCATCAGACATCTAGAAATTAATGGGATCTTCAGATTGCTGATCGGCAAATAGATTCCCAAAGGAAAAAGGGTCTATGTACGGTGACAAGTACAGCCAAGACCATGGCTAAGTTGAGCATGAATTCCTGGCAGCAGAGGGGCAAAATGTACACAAGCATTATTGCTGCCGATTCTGGTTTTTAAAAAGTGAATTAGCAGCTATAATAAATTGCCTTTTCCAGTAGGAGCTTCTATACCTATATTTGTGCATATATTTCCAGATTAATTGCCAAGTGCATTTCAAATGACCCCAGGAGATTTGTGTTAATACACCGCTTACAAACTGACGAGAGGGGAGTCACCAGCTTTAGCTGCAGCTCACTCCACCTCCAGCTACTGCAAACTTCTCCGAGTCAAAGATGACAAATTTTTGGACCTCGTAAAAAGCCCTGCAAGGAGCATGTTGTCTGTGAAACGCACCTGGTTATGCCAAATTTTGGGGGGGAATGCAGAAGTGTTGAGGGAAGTACCACCCACATTTTCATATTTCAGATGACATCCAGCGGAGTGCTCTCAGCAGTGTTGTTTTCACTTTTCAGTTGTGCTGGGGGAAGAGCAATCTGCCAGGGCTCTGCCTACTCACTGCCTTCTTTCTGCCAAGTGTGCTCCATGGGGAATATGTGGGCAGCAGCCCCTGAGCTCCCCAGAGCAGCAGGGCTGCGCTTCAGCCCTCCTTTACGTGCCTCGTGCTCAACAAGTGGCTGCCTAAGGGACAGCGATGCTTTAGTTAAGGCATTAATAAATATAAATGATCAGTTCTCAATGGACCATATTGGTTTTTGAAACACAGCATGCGTTTTCAGTTTAAGAGTGAGGACTGTCGGTTTGGCCTGCCTGATTATAAAGTTAATCATGAGTAGATGTCCAGTAATTTTTGACGTTTCATCTGACTGTGAATTATCACCTTCCTTTGCTTCAGGCAGCCTGCCGGAACTGCTTGCTGTTAGACCAAAGGTTTTCCTTTTATGGCTTACAGATTTTGTGGCTAATTGTGAAGAAAGCCATTTTTGGAATGCCTGGGCAATACATGCGTGAATCACAGCAGTAAGCCATTGCTCTGTCTCCTAACATGTATCATGGAACTATTTTCTTCCATTCCTTTTGTAGTACAGTACATTCCACACTGTGAATCATTTTCATGCAAAAATAGAAGCCAGTGATGACTCTGTGTTCACTTCATAGCAGAAAATCAAGAAATGGCATCCCATAATTAAAGTGCCAGGTTCAGTGGAATTGAAATGAACTGCTGCACAGACAGGTTTGAGCGTCAGCTGCAGAGAGATTAATAGAGGCCTAAACAAATGTTTCCCAATAAAATGTGATTTAAAAAAAAAAATCAAGTTCCGGTCCTTGGGCAAGATCCAAAACACCGCATAGGTGTTTAGTGCCAGGTTCAAAAAGGGGCTTGGATGTTGTAACACTTAATAATGCCGTATGTAAAAGCAAAATGAAGCACTGTCATTTACAATGCTGGGTTAGGTGCTTATGTTCCCTGCGCAGTGAAAGAAGGGAGCTAGACACCTAAGAATCAGATATACAGTCTAAACATGCTGGGCTGGGAGAAGTGAAATGCTTAGTCCAGGCAATATTTTGGCAGTCTCTTCCATAGACCCTGTCTGTTTTGCGAACTGGTTCTGCTGAGCTTTGCCTCTTGAACTTGAGCCACTCTGAGGCAGGCGTGTAGTCCTCATCAGCAGTGCCAAGCCTGATCTAGCAATCCTCCCGGGAGGCTGAGTATATTAACTCAGGCTCAATGCCCCCCCTAATTTGGCTAGTCAGCTTCCGGCCAGTTTGGCGCTTGCACCTGCTTGGGAAGTGAGCATAGAAAGTCTATGCCTTCTTGCAAAAGACCATGCAGACGTTCCCTTAAGTACCTAACTCAGGCCATGACAGATGATCATTTTGTAAAGAGCGGTACTGACTGGAGACTTTACTGTTTTCCAGCTGCTCAGCATGGACCATCATTTAGCCCTGCTGGAGGAAGGGACTGCATTAATACTTCCTTTTCCAATTCAGCAAATTTAGTCAGGTAAACTTAGATACCAACTGTTTAAGCTCAGCTACTTTGGCCAAAGTAGTTGTCCCTCAGGTAATACTCCAGTGGTAGAATAACTTGGGTATTCTTCAGTGAAAATGCATCTGACTGGTTTGTTTTAACAGGAAGTTCTGTAACTGGAGGGTTATTAAGTGAGGCACAGGTGTGAAATACAGCTAGTTCAGAGTTACACAGGTTGGCATCGTTACCGTAGGTCTAGCTGGCGATTTAATAAATAACATACATACAGAGTATTTTGAGTGAAATACTAAAAAGGAGCTGCAGTGGCCTTGATTCTGATCTCTTGCAGTAAAACAGGAATTGCGTTATAGAAGCCAGAGAAGTCATGTGATAGAGTGCTATTACTGATGAGATTAGGATCAGCCTCAGTACTGCAAAGGCTGAAGGCATTTTAAGTTTTATGGAATTGTCATTTAAGAAAGAAAGGAATTTTAGGCAACCGTTTTCCTGCCACATAGACATGACATGCATCTAAAGCACTCACTCCTGTCTTCAGCTGAAGAAATAGTCATACTTTGAGTCATCTTTGATCTCATTCCAGCTTAGCCATATCCCCAAAATACACCTCCTCCTAAATCTGGTAGATGCTGCTCAGTTCTTTTAAACTCTGACAAGGGAAGTAAAAACGTTTATCTTGTCTATTTTTTATAGGATGTTGAACAATAGCGACAACATACATTGCTTTTCAGTATGCACATCATAAAGGGCCTTCAAGATGGAATAGTCTCAATGAGAAAGCTGAGGAGCTTTAATAGCTTTCCTAAGACATTTTGGCCAAAATCCTGTAAGCGTGACCCCATGCGTCACTCTTCTTCCATGAGTAGTCTCATTGACACTAAAAAGACAATCACACAACACAGTTCTTCACAGGCTATGCTTAAAGGATCGATACCCCGTGTACTGCAGAATACAAATTGTGTAGGCCACAGGCATATGAACAAACTGTCATGAGGATAACAGGATATCATGCACCAGCTGAGATGAAGTTACTATTGATTGTTAGGGCATTAATAGATAAGCTTACTACATTTTTCTGTAAACAGTTACTAACATTTTTTGTGGTTGTCACTCACACCGAAGTCAAAAGAAGGGAGTATCATCAGCGCTTGAACAACTTCTAAGTGAAGTCCATCAGCTTAACTTACATTCAGCTTCTCCTGCAGTTGAAACTAAGGAAACAGCTTTGGCAACGAAGCAGCTGAGGTGTGGGCATGGATTTTGTTCTGCTAGTTTTGCTGCGGAAGGGGGCAACCGCTGGGATAGGATTAGAATCGGTGACTTAAACGTAAGGTATCATGTTAGCATTTCAGATATCCATGCATATTTTATTAGTAGGAATATTAATTTGCATAGTACTTACTGGAGTGAAGTAATTTTTTGAAGACCTCTGGACAGTGGAACAAAACATAAACTGTCTAGGTTTTGAAAAAGAAGCAATTATGGTCATTTGAGTAACCATTGTTACCGTTACTTTGTTTTTGCAATGGTTTCTACCATTTTTTATATAACTATATAAAGTAATATACATCTATATACACTACATATGCAACAAAATGACTATTTGTTTTTCATTCTGCATGCTGTCAGGCAATATAACAGAATTTACTGCAAACTGAAGGCCTGTGTACATGAGTGCGCACAGACAAGCCTAAGGGTTTTTTTTACCTTCAAAACGGTAAAAAAAGGTTTGGTCCGAAAGTTGTGTAATCACTGTGGTATCTACCTAAGCTATGTGCTCTGCAGAAGTGGAAGCCCTGTTTTTCCGGGGTGCTGTTTGGAGACGGCCTCTAACGGAAATTACTATTTGAGTCCCAGTTCAGCAAAGCTCATACTTGACTTTCGGCTTAGGCTTTAACCTCTTACTCAAGTTAATCACACACTTAATTGCTTTATTGAATAGGTATGGACTTAAGCATGTGCTTAAAAATATGCTGAATCAGGACCTATCCCAGAGATGCTCAAGACACTGCGTTGGGGCTTGATCCAGACACCACTAAAATTAATGGGAGACTTCAGTGGACACTGGTTGGAGCGTACAAAGGAGAGTCACGGGTGTGCTCTCATGTTGAAGGACACGAATCAGTTGTCCTATCATGTAATTTTAGTCTGATTTACTTACTTGGAAGCAAATGTGGAAACTGGAGGAGAGCTGATGTCATACTGTCCTGGTGCAGTGTTAATATCCTGGAAGAAAAAGTCAGCATAGAAAAGAAAGTGAAAGGACATGGAAGTCTGACTTCAAGCTACTAATTTCTTCCTAGAATTCAGACTCACAAATATGTCTCATCATTTTGCATAGGTATCTTTCAAAGTTCTGATCTTGCTTAAGCACAGCTCCCAAGAAAGCTGAGACGCTAACACTTCCCTACAAAGTGTTAATACTAACTGCATAATTTTACAAAACTTCACTGGACAGTGGAATAATGTTTATATTTATTTACCATAAGCATCCTTTATAGGAGCAAGCTGAGGAAAAAGAACTTAGATAGAAAGTAGGTAACAGTCTTCTAAGGATCACTGAAAAGATAAAACTCTGTTCTTGAAAAGTGAAGGGCTTTGTTACTGGGCACCTATTGCTTTAGAGATAGTCTCACGTTCTCCACGCTACCTCAAGAACAGAGATTCGGGACAAAAGTATGGTTCAATAGCATACTGAGAAGACAGCCTCAGAGCAGCGGACCTGAGAGCAGCTGAACCAAGTCCAATGCCTCTGCTATATTTGTTGGCAAGATGAAGCTCACACAAGAATGACTGTGGGCCAGAGAAGTTCAGAACTGCTGGAAGTCGTCAAACAGTTAAGCCCACCTGCCCTATGTTTTGAACAGAAAGAACAAGAACACAACAAGGAGGAAGAAGCAGTAGCAGCTGTGCTTTACACGAAAGGAAGCTCAAGAGTTGCATATGCATGAGTATTTGGGGATTGCTTGTATCCACAAAGGGGAGGCTGGTGGTAAGGCCTGGGGAAATAGGGCAAATAGGCAACAAATGGACTTTTGGCTATGCCACTGAAAGCTCTACCTAGAGGGAATAAAAAATAATTTTATGTATTAAAATTGTTAAAATATAAAAGCAAAATGTTGTAAGGAGCACATTTAAAAACTCAGTTGTAGTAGACAACACAAGCCATGTATTGCCTACTGAATAGTGATCCCTACAGCCCTCACCCACTTACACCATGAAACATACAAACATATACATCTATGTGTGTTTATATCATATACATAAATATTTACCTTGTCTTTAAAACATAAGGTACTGGGACTTCTTCTTGGTAAGCTTTTAAATGAATATGTTGCTAGCTTTTTCCCTGCCAAATCTATAAAAGTAGGAGGATCGTATGCAGAAACACTTGGTAGTGAGTTATCAGCTGTTTGTTCATAGATGGGTACTTTCCTTCTGCCTTCTCCTTTAAAATTGTACGTGGGCTTCACTGGGTTGAGCTGGGCTTCTTCAAGAAAATCCCGTACTGCGTAAGTACCTGGTACTGGTGTTGGCTAGTCAGGACAAAAAGTAGGCGAGATTTTTCTGCAGCTTATTCTCTGAAGACATCATAAATGTAAACTCTCATTTAAATTTTTTAATTTTAATTAAAATGTTACTCAAAGACTGATGAAAACACATACTGACATTGGATCTTAATTGTTTCACCAGTGTGAAACGAAAATTACTAACGAAAATGTCTAATGAAAATTACTGAAATAGCTAATTAGTCCAGAGCCATGGTGTGACATGTTTACAAGCTAAGAGAAGCCTCTTACCTAGAAAGACCTGAGTCTGCTCCCCAGAGCTGAATCAGGTCAGCAACGAAATTTTGCCTTTCAGCGTGATTGGCAAGACGAGGTCTGCCTCTCCACTTTGAGGAAACAAAGCGCAATTAAAGTGGAGGACACTAGTTGATGACTTCTTTCATCCTACTTTGTTAATAGTGAACGGAACTGTTGGCATTTTCAGTGAAAACAACATACTTTGATTGGGTAGAGAAGAGATAGCTGGGCAAGGGCTGAAGAAATAAACAAACACAGAGTTACATATTGGATGCATTTCCCCCCGCTTCTGATATCAAATGTAATTGTGTCAGATGTTCTCTGAAAACTACCAGTTTGCTTCAGGCTATTCAGCAAATTACCTCAGTACTTGCTTGCCTACACTCCACAGATAGATTGCAAGGAGGCACTGTTCTCTGAGTCAGCTGCACGATAGGGACTTTGGATAGACACTTCCAGTCTGCTTTGTCAGACAACAACTAACAATTTTTTTTAACTGCTAATACAGGAGACTGACTGATCTGTCTGACAAGAATCATAGATATGAAACCTTCCCCCCAAACAATACACCCTAATTTCACTGTTTTTGTAGCAAAGATTACTTTTTAATAAGGACATTTAATAAGCATTTTATACCTCTGCTCAGTAAAAAGCAGAGGTATTTTATTTTGGCAATAAAACCCATTGTTAAGTGTAATTTATGTCATATAAACATTAAATCTACAGCATGGTAGTTTGGGCCATTCTGTGTTGGTCCTCCACCCTAGATCACGTGGAGATTTCTTCAGAGTACATGGGGATGCTTCCCCACAGCTAAACCTTCTGCAGGGCGGACGACACAGGCACCTTCAAGGGAAAGGCAGAGCAGGGGGGAAGGCTATCAGAGTGAAAAAGACAGTTCAAGTCCTGCTTATTTCCATCTTCAGAGTTTATAATACAAATATTACATTTCTGCAGCGTCTCTTCCAAAGCCCACTACAGAACCACAAAAGGGTTTTTAAAAGGTTTGAGGGGAAGCCATTGTTTGCAGAGACTCTCACAGCATCCATCTAATTATGCTGAAATTACACTACTATAGCATGAGTGTTTCAAAGGGGATGGAAAAGCTAGCATAGAGACATAACTTTGGCTTGGGGTTACACTTCGTTTCAAAAATTAAGATGATGTTTCCTACTGGTGGGATAATGAATGGTTAAAAGAACAGGGAGACTCAAAGTGCTTGTTTGCCATTGCTTTCAGATCAACTTGCAAACTGGTCTGTAAATCTGGCTGGCAGGGATAGCTTCCTTATGGCAAAAGTCATCAGAAGACACCTTTAATTTTGGCCAGCTTTTAAAAATACAATGTATGTATATCAATTCCAGGAAAACATCTAGAACTCCCAGAGTTGAAGAGGCAAAGTAATTATGCAGTTCTACCATGGGGGGGGAAAAAAAAAAAAGTAACTTCAAAAAATTCTTACACCATAGGAGTGCTTTCTGAGTCAATTCCAAACATTATTGGAAATTTTCATACACCCTAACCCATTAGGAAGCTTTCTTTTTAAGCATATTCAAGGCCTTTTGTGTCAATGGAAGTACCTCAGTGACCTTAGGGCTTTAGGTTAGACCCTTAATGAGAACCTAAATTATAATTCCCCTATTCTATGTGAATGATTATTGGTAACAGAAGACCCTGCCTTATGGATACAGAGAGCTTCAAAGGAATTTTTCCAAAGGGATCTCTCAAAGGCTTCTAGTTTAGTTAATGCTAGAAAAAACTACTAGAGCTTTTTAGTTATGAGAAATGACCTTGCTTCGAGTAGTCAGAGGCTTAAATAACTTAGAAGTAGAGAAAAACAAAAAAAACCCTGCAGCCTTCCTGGGTTTGCCAGTGATCTAATGCTTCACAGCTAATAACAGATTTTACAGGGGAAAAGAAGATCTTAACAATTTTATTTGCCTTATTTATGTCAGTATCAGTTTACTGCAGCTGAGTGATTTTTTTTTCTATAATATAGAAATATTATAGAAATATAGTACAAAAATATAGCTCTGCATTCCAGAAACAGCCTTCTCTTCTAGAGTCCTGCCTAGGAGAAAGTTAGTAGAAATGCCTTCCCCGAAGGTTGGTTAGCTGCGTTTTTCCGATTGCTGAAAAGCAGTATATACTTTGAAAGACAGTACTATAGGACCAGACATGTACTGCTGTAAGGATGCAGTAGACTGGCAATCTGAACTCAAGGCTTGTCAGACAGGGAAGGGGTACACTTGACAAAACGATGATCATGAGGTTGTTTATCATGCAAGTAACCAAGTAACCAACCAGCACCATAAGATGATGGGCAACTTAATGACTAAAGGGAGTGAGGCTGTAGGGAGATGTGGGATTGTTTACTGATCAAGATGTCTATTACAGGTGACAAAAGCAGCAGTTACTGATAGGGAAGATAATGTAATTCCTGAGCAAGTACTTGCCTACCCAAAGTCTCTAGCTCTTATCTGCAAGAATTGGAGCAATCTATATAAAGAGCAGATTCTATCTCAAATGCGGGGGGGGG